CCTCCCTCCCTTCCCATCCATCTCTTGCTTTTCCTACATGTTTTCTTTGCATTGGTAGGGGTGCTCTCGTTGATGGTTGACACTTGCTTTTCCTTTGTCACCCCACCTAAAGACGAAACAAAAATCTCCAGCGATATCGGACTCTTTTACAGATTTTACAGATTTGGCGCAACGCATTCCGCTGCCCGACAGCTGTTTCCCATCAAGCCCCAAGCCCCTTGGCCGCGGGGCGTGTCCTGGCGTGGCGGGGCGTGGCGGGTCGCACGCTGGACACCAGACAAAGGCCGCCGGTCGGGCCGAGCCGCCCTGCCCTGCCCTGCCCTGCCCTGCCCTGCCCTGCCCGGTCGACGGGCTCGCAACCAAATCAACCTGCTGCTTCCCTTTTGGAAATGCAAACGCCGGCCCGGCCCGGCAGGCGCAGGGGGCCCTCCGGTGTGAACGCGACCAAATACGGCAAGCGCTGCCCGGCCGGCCCCGTTGTCGCCCTAAAAGCACGCCGTTATCTTGTCCGCGGCGGGCCGCCTTTGAGAGCGGCGCTTCGGTCTACGGCCTTAAAACTAAACAGCTGGTCTCGCGAGTAGCTTAACAGGAACTTGTGGGCAGATTTTTTTTCAACCCAATGCACGCGCTTTCACCTCACGTCCACGACTGAAAGCGAATCTACGGAGAGCAACTTGCTTCACGACAGCTGGAGTTGAAAAAAAAGAAATACCCCATCCCCTCTCCTTCCCTCCTTTGCACACACAAGCTCACAGACAATCCTTCAGCGGAAAGAAATCCACGGGGCGTCGCTTCGCCGCGGCGTCTTGAAAGGCGAGCCGAGCAGAGAACGGAGCGCGGAGCGTCCCGTTGGAGTGACAATAACGCGAGAGCGGCGTCACGGCCGGAGGTCGGCTCGCGGTGACGACGTGGCGTGACGGGGACCAGCTCCGCGTCACTGTTCAACTCTACCACACCAACGTTCAACGCGTTTTATTCGCACCCTGTTCTCCAAGGTCTGCTAAGTTTGTTTAAAAATTACAGCGATGCCATGCGCGCAAGTGAACAAGCCCACAAAGCGTTACGCGCCGCGTGGGGTATCCGTACCGACCCGACCGGACCCGGCGTGGAGTAGCGACGGCTCACCGCCGCCGCGCGGGAGGAGGCGGGGCGGGGCGGGACTGCCATGCAAAACAGGGGCGGGGAGCTCATCCGCATCGGCGCGCGAGGAGAACCTGACGCAGGTGGTCCTCCTCCTCCTGAACATGTGCCGGGGCACCGCGCGGCGTCACGGCGCGCGTGTAGTTCAGCGCGTGAGCTGAGCGCCTGAACCTCCGGATAGGCAATCCCGTCAGACGGCCGTGCGCGGCGGGCTGGCCTACCCCGCGAACCGCAGGCGCTCCGCCCAAAGAAACGCCATCACCTCAACCTCATTTATTATATTTCTGTTGCAATTCCCCGCCCCGCTGACTCCCCAATTCTGTCCTACCCTGTCCTCATCTGTCCTACTCTGTCCTACTCTGTCCGTCCGTCCGTCCGTCCGTCCGTCTGTCTCTGTTGCTCTGACGTCAGCTCAGCACGGCCCCCCGCAGCGCGGCGACGCCGCCGGCCTATCGCATTGTTAGGGAGCTCTAGAGACTTGTGATTCAGGACGCGGGGTACGCGGGCGGAGCCAGTGGCGCGACGCGCTGCTCAGTCACAAGTCGACTTGGGAGACGGAGACAGGCTCTCCAAACAACAGCGCGGCCATAACCAAAACTAAATATAAACCATAGAAATGCAGTCGATACATTTTCAGAAAATAGAATTAAAATATACGAGGAAAGGGGACAAGAAACAAAAGCATGTCGTCGACGTGCGTAACTTGTGCGTGCGAGAAAGAAAGATAAGAGGGGATACGAACGTATTCCGCGAACAGGCCAGCATGTGCTTTCTATTGTGCGGCGTGCAGACTCAGCACTGCTCAGCATGCACTACATTAGCGGCGCGGCCGGTGGAGCACGATGCACACGACGCGAGAGTCGAGGAGGGGTGGGGGTCACGGGGAGAGCCTCCAGCGGAGCGGCGGCTTGGAGACAGATGACATGGCCCACCAGGCCACGCGACTCTCCCCCAATAACGCCCCCCCCCCACCTCACGCCCAGAGGAGTCCCTCATCCTGCTCGTCCGTCTTTATCAGGGCGGCAATGGCGTGGCGTGGCGGAGCGCTGCACTGCCACGAGGGCGACTGCAGGCGACTGTACTACTCGCGCAGCGGCACCGGCCGCAGGCCCCACGAGACTGTGATCGTGGGAAACCGCACGCGTGAAGAAAGCGCAGACTTTTGCGACGACTGGATTGCTCCGCAGCGCACTGCGCCCGAGCGGCGGGCAGCCCAAGCGGCTCCCCGAGCGACGCGTCCCGGCGTCGGAGGCGGCGCCGCGGGCGGCAGGCAACCCAACGGGCACCGCGACCAGGCCGGCGGCGGCCGGCGAGGAGCATAGGGGGAAGACAAAGCGCGAGACATCACGCTACGCGCAGCAGTCGAAAACAAAGGAAGTCAGCAAGTCACGTTCGCCGAGGGGGCAGTAGAAGTAGGGTGGACTGAGCTCCGCGACGCCTCGCAACACACGGCCCCACTCCACCCCGCTCCAGGCCCAGCGATATATTTTTAGAGAAACATAAAAATGATTGTTGGCCAGGCGTATCGCCAGTGACGCACGCAGCGCGCGCGCGCGCACACACACACACACACAAATATACACGATTGACTGGACCGGGCGAATTACTCTAATAGGCCGAGTGCACCGCATCGGGATGAGCCGGGGGGACGAAGGCGTCGAAGAGGCGCTCCCAGAGTGTCCACTGCTTCGTCGCCGAGCTCGTCGCCCGCCACGCCGCTACCGCCTACCGCGTCGCAATGAAAGTTCACACGGTGAAATAACAAACGATTAGAGTTTGTATCCTTCCGACAGCAGGGGCATGGTGGCAATGGTAATCACGCGCTCCGTATTTGAGGCGGTCGTTGGAAAAAAATACTGTAATGGTTAATAACTAACGCAACAATAAAAAAAAACGATAATTTTCAATTACTGGCATTATTTCCTAAATTATTGTTCAACAACCCAGAAATAACTGGGTGCATGAAAAGAAGAAAACAAAATGCAGGCAACCGCAAACATTCAAAAAAAATAAAATAAAAAAAAATTAAGTCGCCGGGTGCAACATTCTGTGAGTGCGCGCGATGCGACACAAGCGGATGGATACTCGCGTCCAGGACATGGGCGGGACATCCCGTCGTTACACGGTAATGCACGCGGGTAGGCGCACTCACCGCGACCCAATTTGGCCCCCATGGCGCGAGGCCCGCGCTCCCAATCAGCTGTGTTGGCCCCCGCGGGCGAGAGAGTGCGTGAGAGTGTGTTATCTTTGAGCAGGTGCGTGTTTCGCGATCGACGGCGGCCGGGTGATAGTGACACACTTGCGGACGAAATCTGATAAAAAGAAACAATGGACTTTGGGCGCCTTCATGAAGAGTTCATTTTGGGCGTCACGTCACGCACCGGCACTTCTTCGCGAAGAAAGGCACTTTTTAAATTAAGGGAATTACGAGGCGCCCAAAGTGGCCGTACATTGTGACTTCATAGCCACGACACAGCTCTCGCGTGACAACCTCGACGCCATTTATCGCCATCGGCAACCTCGACGGTATACGAGGTAGGATAACATTCTTACCGCGAAACAAACAACCTGACCGCGCGGTGTCGGGAGACGGGGGTCCTATCGGCCGCCGGCACCTTACACGTTAGTGCCCGCCGGGCTGCGGTGGGCAGGGTGAGGGTGAGGGTGAGGTAAGGCGCGGCCGCCGGGCCCTACAAAAAATAAGGTCTTTTAAACTCAAATGACGCAACGGACGGCGAGGCGCAGAGCGGCCCCGGCGTGGTTGTGCCGCACAACGCGCGACCCCTGTGGGTGGACGTGGACGGGGACGGCGCATGCCGCACGGCGAGGCGCACGGCGAGGCGCACGGCG